ACGAACATAACTCAGCTAAGCATGTACCCCTCCTCTTGAGGTTGAAGGTTCAAATCTCTAATTCCATATTTATTGCTAAAAAAAAAAAAAAAAAAAGACTTTTAAGACAAATGACCTAACATGACAACATGTAATTGTTAAGAAATAAGATCAACCATGAGCTATAGGGATATGCCCGTTTAATTTCATGTGTCAAATTTTTTATTCTTTTAGCTCGTTGGGAATTTTTTTTTTCTTTTCTTTTAAGCTTTTACAATGCATACTTTAGTCTCTTCTTCTTTTAGGATGTTCTATAAATTTTCTTTTTCTAACAAGTTGTGAGCCCATTTATCTAAAGCATGGGTAGCGTGTCCTTTGGGCTTTCTTTAAGCCTTCATCAACTTTTGTAAGTTTCTTAATTTCCAAAGTTTTGTTTTCATGAGTTTTTAAGCTTGAACGAAGATGATAATTTTTGTTTATCAATTAATTCTTTAATTTCCAAGTTTCCTCCACGGAACGCGTCCCGAGATGTCCTTAGTGCGTTCCTACACCATCTGACACTTAACATGGAACAAAAATGCTAAAATCACAGGATATAAGCTTTCAAGAAACATTGAAAACTCATTGTAAACAAAAGAAAAAAAATATATATGGAAAGATTTCGTGTGCATATCAATCCTTAAGTGAACCCTCTCAATTGTCTCCCATAGATGTATATATATGTATAAACTAAAAAGTCATAGGAGGAACCACCCAACTTGATCTTGTGATAATTAACTATTGTTTTGAGTTATTTACATTGTTTTTAAAAACTGTAAAATAAACAAGAAAACGTATTTTTATCCAAAAACAAAAATCATGTCAATGAAAAACTTTATCTGAAAAAAGAATTAGTACTTTAAAATATCTGAAGTCAATCATTTACAAAATTAATAGAGGAAAAAAAGGGAGAAATTACAACAAAAAGAAAAAAGAAAAAAAAAACCCTCCTAACTTTACCCATTGTTTAAAAAGGATCACCTTTTAGAAGTTTCAATATTATCTTTTACCTTACATAAAAGTTACAAAAATATCATTTGAGCAAACATCGATTAACATTTTAAACGAAAAGTTGACGTGTCAAAATCTGGAACGATGTGATAATTAACGTGAAAGATTAAGTTTGAAAATAGATGAAATGTGGAAGAAGCTAGGGAGATTAGGACAAAATTGGGTAGACAATTGAGAAACAAAATGACAATGGAGGAAGAAAAATTTTAGGACAAAATTGGATAGACAATCTTCTTCGTTAAATGTCACATTATTTCATATTCTGTCAAGTCAACTTTTTGTTCAAATTCAAAAGGTACTTCGAAACATTTATCAAATATCAAGAATACTATTGAAAATTTAAAAGGTTATAAATATTTTTTAAACAAAGAACAAAGCTGGAAAGTACTTTTTGTAATTTAGCCCCAAAGAAAAATTCAAAGAGGCACTCAGTGAAACAACATAGACTCAATGACTATATCCTAAATAGTAAATATAATATTCGTTCTTAACTGAAGAACCACAAATTAACCCAACAAAAACAGAGTTCAGTTTACTTCAATCCATCCCAAACCCATAGTTCTATGAGAATATTATGGATCAGATCAGAGAGGCGAGGAAAACGATGAGACGGACAAGATACCTCGAATTTGGTGCACCAAAGGAAATACCAAGCAAACTTTTCGCGGATTTTGAGGGCATCTCCCATCAACACTGCTGTAGTATCCCACTGATTTATCCACAGCGAAAATGTACTATTGGAACTTGGAATTCAGTTTCACAACTGGGAATCACCACAAGTATTTTCGATGAGTGCCACACTTTCCTTGCACGAACAACCAGTTACCAAACTTCCTCCTGTTTGAAGGAAAACCTTAACCACTTAATAGGTCAATGCCTCTGCTGTGGTCACACCCTCCCCTCAAATGACTACAGAAACGTTTCCACATTTTTAGACTATTGAGATAATATTCTCTGTAGCAATCCGACCAGCCTAAGGAACCGCATTACCACTGTTTCAGACAATCATCGAAGTCTCATTTTGTAGTGAAAATATCATATTTTCCAACTAGAAAGTACTTTCCAAAGCTATCCATTTTGCCAGCACTTCAAACAACTTCAAGTCTCTCAAACTTGCAGATATGGAGCTCACTAATATAAAACCTCAAGAATCATACAAATTTTTCTTGAAAGTTGCTACGATTTCCCAATCATCTCCTCCAACTCTCTTTTGGTATGCTTGAAGTAGACTTCCCAATTAATTATACTTATGGAAGTCTGAACTACAAATAATTGTGCACTCTTCCTTATTCTATAGGGTATTCTGCAACCAACCAATGCTTGTCCAAAGTATTGCTTATTAGTTATTTGTCTCTCATCGTCCTGCTTTGCTGAGACATTTACTCCCGTTGTTACACCAATTGCAGTAGTGAACTTCATGATCCTCCCAGAAATATACTAATGGTACATCAATATCAAATATTCACAAGTGGATCTAGTACGACAGAAAAAATATTGCAGGAGGCTAATAATTTGAGGATCTCAAAATTGGACACCTTTATCTTCTAAAACAGAAAATCTCTCAGCTACTCACCATTACTAATTTTAAAATGGGTCTAATTTCATATGAAACATGACTGGTTCAAAATTGAGATTTTTGTCCAAACTACATGATAGAGTGCTAACTAAAACTATAGTTTGGATACCCTTTCTTGCATTCTAATGATTATATTCAATATTTCATGAATAGATGGAAGATTTTGATCGAAAATGATTCAAAATCATAGAAGTTTAGAAGAAAATTTGACCCTCACAAGATGAACAATCCAATAGTGGTTTACATAAAGCAACAACACATAGACACAATAGAATTTCTACATTCACAGAAGCGGATTTTGAACAAGGCATGGATATGGTCTACTTCTCAGTGTGTTCACAGTACATAGATAATCTTTTCAGTTAATGTGGTACCGCTATTTCTGTCAAGACATTCCAAATCAGGAATTGCGATATTACAGACTACTTTTGCAATGAGGAAGCTCGAGTAAAGGAAAAACACAGGCACAAAATCTTCCTATTGATGGACTCTTTTGAGGAGAGGATTCCCTTTAAAAAGGGAAATTTAGCTATAAAGGGATATAGTCTCCCTGGGGGAGGAGAATTCGTATCTTTAGGAAAAAAAAATCACCTCTTGTTTTCTTCTTCTTCATCATAGTTTCTAAACTTATTTATTTTTGCTTAAAGATCATTTTATGTGGACTGTGAGATCTAATTAAATTAGTTTATCATATCTTTTCTATTTACATACTTTCTATGATTAATTAAAATTGTTGTTGTTTTATTAATTGTACAAGAGACTTATTGTTAAATGAACAAAATAGAACATTGTCAATTAGTTTTTCAAACTCGTAACATTTTTAAAATGTTTTAATACCTAGTGGTAGAGTAATATATTTGATTACCACGGGATGTTAGGAAGTTTACCAAAATCAAGCATAGTCAATTGGTTAAGACATTAAGACATTGATAATTTCTAGGTTCGAATTTCTACCCCCACATCTAAATAGTAGCACTAATCAATATATATATTACTACCTTAATTTATTTTGTTGGAAGTTGTCTATTAGGTTATAGAAGCCCCAAGGGGCAGCCCAGTTAGCAAGGGTTTGGGATCTCTTCATCATACTGACTTAGAGGTCTCAAGTTCAAATCTTCTGATGAACTTAATACCAAAAATCCTTGATGTCTCCCGGGTCCAGGCCTTGGGCGGGCGCGAATGCCCCGGGGTATAGAGGAGCAAAGCTCCGACTACCAATAATTAAAAAAAGAAAAAAAAATTATGGAACTTTTATTACCAAAAGTTCAATATTGTTACTGTTAAGTTAATTTTAGTTACATTAATATTTCATCTATAAATGAGCACGATTTTTATAAAATTAATATTTCTTTTTATATAATAATTTTCTTTATACTTAATTCAGACTTTTTTTAAAATCAAAATTCAACTTTTTTTTTTTAAATCAAAATTTAACTTTCATATTAACATACAAACTTAGCTTACTCAAGTGATGAAATGTGTTTGATTGTTGGGCAATGGTGTATATTTGATTTTGAAAGGTAAAAATGTTAAAAACTCAATTCTTAATTGATATCCTAAAGCCACTGGGGACAGGAGAGCGAAGCTCCGAATCCCCGTTATAAAAAAAGAAATGGCATGATATCCTAAAAATTCAAGCAACCCCATACCTAAAAAATGAAAGATTCTAACAAAATAAAAGAAATCTGAACTTCCATCTCAAGAAATTATAGTCCACTTAAGTATAGTTTAACTAGTTAAAGACATCATACATCATCTTAACGGTTAAATTGTTAACCCGAACAAAAAAGAAGATCTCAAGGAATTAAAATCAATTACTATTAAATGGCATACAATTCAGTAAACTAATAAGTAAAAAATGAAATACAAATCAGGCATTTTGCAAACAAATATTATCAATATGTATACTACTAATATAAAACAAATGAGAAAATAAATGCATATTCTTGAAGTGAAAAAATTAGAACGGAAATTACAATTCAAGAACTAAATTTATGAGTTCATCACTGCTAGAGTCATTTAAAGAATGACTCTAGCAAGACTGCCCTTGAACTAAAAAGAAAAAAAAAACTGTATTTATTTTTTTAAAGAAATTAAAAAGGAAAGTAGAAAATCTTGTTATAACTCCTAGATTTCCATTTCCAAAATATAAAAACATATTTATATAAATACTGGATGCTTTCACTTTTGAATTCGATATAAAAATTTTGATCGAAAATAAAAATACCGTTTTCAAATCATTCTCTTTCTTTCTTTTATTTTAATAAAACCTTCGAAAATTAATTCAGTAAACGAAGAAAAATAAATTGAAAAACATATCCCATAAATAAAGTAAAGAACAAGAAGGATCAAGCAAACTTAGAGAATGAAGTATGAACGATAATAGTTATCTTACATCTACATGTAGGTCGTAGCGACCAGGTTCACAGCATTACCATTACGATCTCCTCCTCCTCCGCCCGTTTTTCGCATCCGCTTTTGGAGTTGGGAACCGCATTTCCATTACTCTGAGGAAACCGATTACTATCCTTGCGCGGCCGCCCTCTCCGCCGCTTAATCGGCGCGTAACTGCTGTCAATGATATCAACAGGAATGCTCTGGAAAATCGCATAGGAAGAATCAGGCACCGATTCGTCGTAAATGTGGTTAATAAGGACCAGGTCCTCATCTTCGTCGCCGTAGCTGTTGTCGACGGTGCAATGAGAGTCTCCAACAAAGAGTTGCTTGAAGAGAGTGATAATTTTAGCGCTCTCCGCATCCAGGCGCTCGGGGGATTGGGGGCGAATTACGGAGGAGGACGAGGAGGAAGGAAATTGGGGTTTGCGAGGGGCCAAACGGAGGCGCGAATAGGTCTGTTTACGGCTGCCGGCGGACTCGTTGAAGACAGATCGATCAATTTTGGGGATTAAGACGTCGTCGTCGTCGTTGGATTGGGAGGTTGAAGAAGATGAGGAGGAGAAACGAGAGAGGCAATAGAGCTCTGATTGAGAGAGGAGACGGAGATCTATGATTGGTAGAGTATTCATGCGGAAACTCTCGTTGGAAGGGGAAGCAACCATGGTTGTGGAAGCCATGGATATGGCATGAGGTTCTGTAATGCCCAAAAAAGGGAGGGACGGAGAGGGAACAGCGATAGGGAGCAGCGCCACGGTTCAAGCCTCAAGGGACGACCGGTTCGAAACTGGGCCCTGGCCCAACTTTTCCGAATCAATCGGCCCATGCTTTCCATTATTGGGCCTTCAACATTCTCACCTCCCGAGGTGGATTGTGAGATCTAATTGAATTTATTTAATTTGTTATATTTTAAATTTTAGCTAAATTTTAAAAATAAAACAAAAATAAAGGTTTGTGAATACATTTACTTAGTTTAGATTCTATTAGCTCAAGTCTCTCGTTAAGATAGTGACTTGTCAACATGAGTTTAGCTTAGCTGTAATTAGTATCTCTTTTTGACTAAAAAGTTACAAGTCATTCTAGTAGTCTATATTATTATATTTTTTTAATTTTATTTATAATTTTTCTAGGGGTTATTTTTATAATATTTTGGATCGATTATACTATTGTGGATTTGGATGAGGTTGGAGCCACTTTATTAAATAACTTGATTTAAATCTAAATCTACTCTTTTGAATTTGATTGGGATATAGAGGGACCACTTATTGGCAACTATTTGATAGGGAGAGACCATATGCCTCAATACATTATTGTTGCAGATTGTATATTATGGATGCAGCAAGCTACTAAATGTTAGATGTCTTTTCTCATTTGCCAAAGAATAGAGATAATTAAACTTCAACTTCAACTTTGTAACCTTTTAACTGAATTTGGTTTTTTATTTTTTCCTCTCTTTATATCACATTTTATCTCCTTGAAAATATATAATCATTAAATGAGATGAAACAAAACAAAATATATGCATCAAGAGTATTGATGTAAATAAATAATAGACATTTTAAAATATTATAATAAACATAACTCAACTAGTTGATTTTTCGAGTTGTAGAGTTAGCGACCGTTGGATAACCAATGCTTTTTGTGAACTAAAAAAAATATATTTTAAGGCTAAAAAAACATACATAATAGAAACCCATCACATGAAATGAGGGCCATTGAGGTTTGGGTGCACCTTGGACCTTGGATTGAATGGGGCTCTATACTTTGAACGCCATGAGAAAAATGAAGATTGGAACATTATCACGTGCAAATTACTATTCCATATATATATATTTTCATATAATCTATACGTGAGTCAACATTTTTTCATAGAGATAATCGAGGTTGAGAAGAATTGCTTTCAGCAAATATTATTCCATTTTCGCAATAAAATTTTATCTAGAAAATTAATTGGATACCTTTATTATCTACAATCTTTTAAATGATATGTTTTTTATACTATTAACTACAACTACAGCCATCATTTTTTTCCAATCTAATAATGTGAGAGCGTGATTCAACCTTTTAACCTTTTAAAAAATTATTATGCATCTTATTTACTCCTCATAGACATCATTTATTGATTTCAACGACAATTAAGTATTTTAATATTAAAAAATAATCATTATTTACCTAAAAATTTGGTACGTTGTATCAATTTTTTAATCTTAACCCTAAACTTAGATTACGGTTTTGACATTTGTACTCTCTATTCAATTTTCGGTAATTCGCCCACTAATTTGAATAAAAAAAGTAAAAAGGAAAAAGAAGTTTGAATTTAATGAAACCAAATTTTGTACAAATTATGTTTGATTAAGGCACAAAATAGTCCATTAAATAATTCTGTCTAGTGTTATTTTTGTTTGAATCCTATCAATTTTATTACAAATATATGTTTTAAATTCATTTTCACACATATAAAAATATTTTTTCCATATTTTTAAATACATATAAAAAAATTATAAAATTTATGCAATTAGAAGTTCAGGGTAGAAGTTGACATAATTTAACAAATTGACGATTAAAATTCATATTTTAGATATTATTTTTATAATATTTAATAGGTGCCTGTATTGGTTACCATTGGAGTTAGGAGTTGGGAAAGTGTGGGGTCCATTGAGCCAACTATGTAGCTCATTAATTCCACCAACTGAACCAAAAACCGCTCACACGCAAAATCAACCGATTTGCTCTTTTTATTTGTCTCTTTGTCCAAAATTGTCCCTCCAACCCGGCCCCACTCTATCTTCAATAAACTAAACAGTTTTACCTTTCAAAAAGTAATTATAAATATAGAAAAATTAAAAGCCAGAGGTTTATTACAACAGCTTTATATCTGTTGTAATAAAATTAAAAATCAGTAGAAGTAGACTAGTGGTAGTCTAATATTTTTTCTTAGAACCGTATTTAAAAAATAATTTGCCAACTTTTTTTTAAAAATGATTGAGGGGTCGATTTGAGTATTAATTGGACTTAATTTTGTAAAATGATTGATTTTTGTTGAAACGGCCGTAGAGATTTTTACTTTGCTTTTTTGCTAACTAGTGGCACCAGGGTTTAGTGGAAGATTAATATAGGGTAAAAATTGCTACATTTATCTAGCGAAATTTTCCTAAAAAAATACTATAAATTACTTGAATTAGTATCTCAATAAATTGAGGAAAAAGTTGAAATTTTAAGTTTTTATCCTAAATTTTCAATTTAATCAAACTTCACTGTAGTAAACTTGGTTAAGTATTCAATATTTTACCCTAAGTTAAATAATTGCTTGAATTTTTACTTTCTAATATAATTCCACCAGGAGAATCAATAAAACAAAAGTTCTCATATGCATTTAAAGACCATAAAATATATATCTAATACAAAATTGATAGTGTTTGATCAAGAATTTGACTAAGTATATAGGAAGCATGGCAACAGATGAACAAGGTGAGGTGAATACAAGTAAGGGGCCTACAAAATAGAATAAGCACTCCGAAGATGATCAAGTCAATAGTTGGTCGAGGCTAGAAGTCTGTACTTATAGGTGAAACGTCTGACAAGCTTCCAACGACTTTTCGGTAACTTCGAGAATTATAGCATGTTGTCGTAGATATTGCTTCAAATTTACGCATGCAAGAATTAACACAGGTCAGCTTGATCGACAACTCAAGCGATCAAGGCATAATGTGTTGGACGACTCAACTATATCTCAGGCGGTCGAAATATGAGATTCTGGTCTCTAGTAGTTCGGTCCGAACTACCGTCACTTGTGTGTATGAGTCGGCATACTAACTCTTTACTGTTGAGCTATTAGATGTCGATATGTGGTTGATGAAAAATCACCTCCAACATATAAAATTTTAGAGAAAAACGATATTGAAATTGTTGGTTTTTGTTTTTGTTTTTGTTTTTTTTTTTTGAATGGTGTGATTTTGGTAGAGTGATTTAATACCATGCATTAATCATACTCAAATTACGCAAAACTTTACTTTTATTGAAAATTAATGAGTTCTGAGAAAATTTTATCTTGTTCAAATAAGTGGGCGAATTAGCAAAATTCAAAACTAAAAAAAATGACAACAATTATCAAAAGCATAGAGTTGGACTAGATGAAATTGAAAGTAAAAAAAAATGATAGATATTGCAAAATTTACGATAAAAAATGATTTCTTTTCTTCATAATTTACAACAATTACAAATAAATAAAGCAAGTGACACGTCGGCATTACGTCCCGCCGACAGGAAAAAACCCGGAACGGTGGACCCCACTACAAACGTTTACTACTTTGTTTCTTTTACTGTGGCCGCTATAACCCTACTGCCCCACGAGAGAAACAAACACACAAATATGAAATGCTATCATCATCCTTCAGAAAATTACTCAAAAAGTGGTAAAATTTATTTTACTTCAAATAAGTGCAGGGATTTAAACATGCAATCTTGTAATTGTAAGAAACAAAAAAGTGAAAAATGAACTTGGGGTTTTGGGAAATGGTGTGGAGCCGACCCGTTGCGTAATTAATCAAAGAATCTATCCTTCTTCGTGAAATGGGCTGTTCTCTCTCATTCATTACGTGAAATATTCACTCATTTCATTCAATTGCATGTGGATTCATCGTCCTCTAAAGTTATAAAATACAAAAATAGCAGCTGCAGCTGGATCTGTGCACAATCTCCTTCTTCTACTCTACTCAACTCTGCCACTCCCACCGTTCCTTTTAATATTCAGTGATGAACTGAGGATCAAATTCGATTTGGTTGTTTCAAGCTATTCATAGTTGCCCCCTGATTTCTGGGTTTTGGGTTTTGGGTTTTGGGTTTTTTCACTCCTCCGCTCTTTGCTCCGTCGACGAGGTATGCTGGTTCTTTCCTCCTCTGTTTCTCTCTCTTTTCACTCTGTTTCGAATTTGATTTGTATTTCAACTTGTGTACGAGACGGATACAGATGTGTAGTGATTGAGCACTGCTCTTTCATCTGCTGAATCTAATTTTCTTTTCTTCTGTTCTGGATGCCACGGATCTTACGTCGTGGATTGTATACAATCGGGATTTTATTTTTCCATTCATCTTCTTGTTTTAGCTAACGGCATTCAAAAGTTTTGTGAACTTTATGGGGTTTTGCTTTAAATTTTCGTATTAAGCTTTTGGGAATAGCGGAGATTTAACATGGTAGAGCTGGAGTTTCGTATCTTCGAACCCCGYGAAGTAATTTCTTCTCTAGTTAATATTGATAACCAACTTTTGGATATTGTAATTGTTAAAGCATTGATGAAAGATTAAATATATCGTCGTAATACATCATTTAGGTGTTGTTCTTCTCGTTGGTTCTTACTAAACTTGAGGGAAGAATTTTAAGTGACTATGCTCAATCTTCTTTGTTTCTTCGTTGAATTACAGTTTGAGAATGTCAAAGCCTTTGCACCGAGGAGCTTCTGGGGCAAGGATTTGTGAGGGCGGCCATGACTTGGATAGAGCTGAAAACGGAGATTTGGATGACAGAGATTTTTCAAATCATAGTGACATTTTGTGTAGGTTTCCATTTGGATTATCTTCACCCAAAACAACTCCTTCTAAATATGGTTGTCACGAGAATAGCTTCTTGTCTGATTCATTCATAGCGGGAACTCTAAGAAGTCGGCACAAGTTGGCCAAACAAATTTKGAACTTTAGCATACCGATGATTGTACTCGTAATTATCTTTGGATTATTTTGGTGGTCTGTATCCATTTCAATCAAATCCAGACTTCACACTGTTCGTAGTTATGATAAAATACAAGAACAGGTTGTTTTGTACCTTTCTGAMATTGGGGAGCTTGCTCTTGGTCCTTCAAGGTTGAAAGAATTGGAATTCTGTWCTCAAGATATTGAAAATCACGTTCCCTGTTTTCRTGTTTCGGATAACCCTGGCTCGGGGTATTCYGATCGTTATTGTGCGCGGGAACCAAAGCAAAATTGCATTGTGCTACCTCCTGTGAAGTACAGGATTCCTCTTAGATGGCCCAGCGGAAGAGATGTAATCTGGTTTGCAAACGTAAGGATTACAGCTGAGGAAGTCCTCTCTTCAGGAAGCTTGACCAAGAGGTTTGTGTACATTAACAATTCTCGTCTATTTAGTCGGTATGACCGTCCTCCGAATATTAACAATAGTTTTGTTTTTACAGAATGATGATGCTGGAGGAAGATCAGATTTCCTTCCGTTCCGACTCTTCCATGTTTGAAGGCATAGAAGATTACTCCCACCAAATTGCAGGGATGATTGGGCTAAGAAATGTATCTAATTTCATACAAGCAGGAGTAAGTAATTSTATTTTTAGATCCAGTAAATTTACTATATTCTGTTTGCTGTCAGCCTGTTGTGTTTTCCCAATTAACTCAAATCATAAAGACTTATTTTGTTCAACCTTGTTCAAGTTTGAAAGAGTTGATGCGTGGAACTTTGCATTTTAACTATGGATGATCATGCTGTTCCTAACATTTTTGCAGATAAGAACTATTCTCGATATTGGATGTGGTTATGGTAGCTTTGGAGCTCATCTCTTTTCGAAACAGCTTTTAACCATGTGCATGGCAAATTATGAAACATCAGGCAGTCAAGTTCAACTAACACTCGAACGAGGTCTTCCAGCAATGTTAGGTTCTTTTGCTTCAAAACAGTTGCCATATCCGTCTCTCTCCTTTGATATGGTTCATTGTGCGCAATGCGGTATTGATTGGGACCTACAAGGTATCTCTCAAAATTTAATACTTCTCATTATATTATTGTAAGTTACACTTCTACATAAATCTTCAAAATCCAATATAATTTATTTTACATATCCATTTTTTCCAACTTACCACATATAAATCTTCCCTTTCGGATTTATTCTTTGAGGTGAAGAATCTTTTTCGAAAAATAGCTCAATAATGGTGGTGGCACAATTTTTCAACTTGTTAACATCACATCTTTTAGTACTTTCAATCAGTCTGCAAATTTGGTTGTATTCCTACTATGGTTTCTGGTCTCTTCCTCCCATCAAGCAAACTCATTTAGAAAGGCAAGCGAGTTCATTGTGTAAACTTTGTGTTATAGGCATGAAGCACGAAATACTTTAGTTTTAGAATCATGTTCTTGACTGGAACATGGATCTCAATAGCTTCTCATTGAACATATCAATTGATCGCGTTGTACAGATGGTATCTATTTAATCGAAGTCGATAGAGTTTTAAGGCCGGGGGGATATTTTGTTTGGACATCACCACTTACCAATGCTGAGAGCTTCCTCCACAACAAAACCAATCAGAAAAGGTGGAACACTATTCGTGATTTTACCGAGGGTCTTTGCTGGGAAATGTTGTCACAACTAGAGAAAACCGTGGTATGGAAAAAAACTAGTGAATCAAGCTGTTATCGTTYGAGGTACACACCATTTATAGAGATCAATTGCTGATCATAAAATTTGTTAATAGCCAAGTTATCCTGATCTTTTGCTATATTCTGCTTGCAATTTTAGGAAATCTGGTTCAGGTCCATCCCTATGTGGTAAAGGGCATTATGTTGAATCTCCATATTATCGACCTCTCGAAGACTGCATCGGTGGAACAAAAAGCTCTAGGTGGATTCCTGTTGAAGAGAGGACATGGCCTTCTAGAGCTAACTTAAACAAGAGTGAACTTGCAGTATATGGTAATAATTTTCTTCTGATATTGATGATTATGTTACTAAGGATGAAGATTTTAACTTAAATGTTTTTATTAGGTGTACAATGGGAAGAATTTGCTGAAGATTCCATCAAATGGAAAATGGCTGTCAATGATTATTGGCCTCTTATGTCGCCACTGATATTCTCAGATCACCCGAAGCGACCCGGGGATGATGACCCTCTGCCCCCATATAACATGCTGCGTAACGTGCTAGACATGAATGCACGGTTTGGAGGTTTTAATTCTGCCCTGTTGGAATCTGGCAAGGATGTATGGGTCATGAACACAGTTCCAACTACTGGATCTAATCACCTTCCGTTGATTGTCGATAGAGGCTTTATCGGTGTATTACATGATTGGTAATGCTACCTTGTCCGATGCCTTTGGATGCGAAGAACGCATTATGATTCGAGCATAGTTTACCTGTTCCTTCCTGTTTATTAATTTATTTTTCCCCTTTCAGGTGTGAAGCATTCCCTTCATATCCTAGAACATATGATATGGTGCATGCAGAGGGTATATTGTCCCTTGAAGCCCTTCGACATCGGTGCACCATGCTAGATATGTTAACTGAGATCGACCGGTTACTTCGTCCCGAGGTAACCAAATAAAAATTTAATGATTAAAACGCTATACTTATAATATAGTTGGGTCATTGTTTGGGTGGATACATTAAAGTGACAAAATAGGATTCCCAAATCTTATTCTTCATCATCATATCATATCTGCTAGTRATTTTGTGTGTAAACTTGAAGTTTTTAATTAGCAACTAATCTTAAATGAACAACAGCCATTCAGGTAATCAACATTTTGATCTGCTGAGATTCTCCAACCTACCTTCCCTTCTGTTTAATCTCTCCCTCTGTCAGATCTGAAATCACTCTAATTTCTTCATTACATCAAATCATCATGTTAAATCAGATGCTGGTTTTTATGTAAGCTAATGTCTTTATGGTTGACTTCAGGGTTGGGTGATAATACATGACACGACAAATCTCATTGAATCGGCTAGAACGCTAACGACACAGCTGAAGTGGGATGCCCGAGTTATCGAGATCGAGAGCGACAATGACAAAAGCCTGCTGGTCTGCCAGAAACCATTCTTAAAGAATATAGCAACTTCCTAGCCTGAGAAATGTATTATTGTATCAATTTTCAGAGTGTTGAAAGAACCATTTGAACCGAACACCTTCACAACAAGAGGGCATCCAAAATTTTGAAAAGAAGGAAAAAACCTGAGGAATCATACGGAGGATCTAACTACAAGGTTTATATTTATAGAGTCATGTAAAGACAATAGCAAATTGTAGAAAATATATTGAAAAAAGAAGTTAAATTTACCAAATATAGTGGTAATTACATCATAGATTCAAATATTTGCAATGTTATTTTGCGTGTTTGACCATCTGAGCTGATTTTTGATCTGATCCAATCAGCTAGTGCATCCGAACCAACTCGAAGTGGTCGAAAACCCTTTTGTCTGACTTACGCATTAGAGGGAGTGTGTTGAGTTTAATATCATACCCATGTACTGTAGATCTCTTGTGTGTGCAAATCTTCGTCGGAGTTCGGATCCAAATCCTACGTCAACAATTAATTTACGCATTCGGGCTCGTGTAAACTAAAAAGAATTATTCTTTTTCCTTGTTTAAGAATCTGTAGGCAGAAGAAGATACCCATGGAAATAGTTGCAAATCCAACTCATGGCTGAAAAGGGGACAGAAAACGGATTAACCCACGTTAGGAAAGCAACTGCCAGTTCATGACTCAGTATCAATTATATACAATAAAACAAAAACAAATGGAGTGACTAACAAATAAATTTGAATATATATATTTCTTTTTCCTTAGTAGCTGTCTTCGTCCGTCCATAACAATGTTAGCAAACAGAGAGAATACGACCATTGAAATCCTAAACTTTACACATGTGGGAGACAAAGATATGAATTTAAATATTATTTTTCGTCTCTCAATTTTCACATTTATTATGTTTTGATTCTCATACTCTCAAATATTACGTTTCAATCCTTCAACATATTGCATACAAATTTATTAGAAATCCCACRTGACTTCGTGTGGGTGGACTCGTGAAGTTGAGTTTCATATTGGGTTTGAAAATAGTGATTTAAGAACATTAATTTTAGTTAGGCTAAAATTACTTGCAAACATATCATAAATGTAGTTTTATTAAATAAATCAAAATTCAACGCAAAGTATAAAACTTAGAGACTTAAATAAGATTTAAACTAAATTGACCCATTTTCATTTTTGTTTGACCTTATGTGACCTGTTTATTTGGCAACCAATTTACAGCACATCAACTATATATGGATGTCTACTCATCTCAAGAAAAAAAGGTTACGGTCATCGATTTGTTAACTCGTCGATAAAGTGTTAATAACATGGACCAAATGGACACATCTTGGAAGTTCAAACACTAAAATGAAGTTTAGAAGTTGACCAAAATAGAATAAAATTCAAAGTCGAGATCAAGACGAGATTTAAACCTTTCAAAGTACAATAATTATAAAAGAGAAAATATTTAATTTAGYGACTCAATTGAGATTTAAATTAAGCTAAACATAGAGGAAATCTATGTAAATCCAAAGCATACACAAATTATGATGATGAAGATAGAGGAGATTCCATAAAAAGTTCATAAAGCTTAGCCACACAGCAAATGCGGTTCTCAAATCTCATATGGGTCATGTGCATGTGGGAGTAATACATATAGACAAAATAATGGCCTTTCCATCAATGTCATAAACTAATTAATCTAGCTATAATATCAGATAAATTAATTAATCTGTAATTATTAATTTTATCATAAAAAGCATTGAATACCAAAATGATTGAGGATAATGATTGAAAAGTACGTGGAGATATACGAGCCATATATCTTTATATAAATTAAGATTAAAGAATCCAATTAGCTTTGGTGGAAGTTTTGTAATATACGATTAAAAACACGAGTCAACCAAAATATAGCTCAACTGATTAAGAAATTTATCTCCAATAAAATTCCRTGWGTTCGAATCATTGTCCAATGTTATACTATACCTAAAAAAGAGAATGAAGAAAATGGTCAAAGGAAGTCAGAATTTAGATGGAAGTCATGTTTGGGTTATGATAATTGAGCCACTAATTAACTTGTGTGCACATGCAATAATGAGCGTGATTGAAGGCTTTTTGAGGGAATTCATATGTGATTCGTTGCTCTGATTTGTATTCAACAACTCTAAATCCATGCTTTTGTAATTTTTTTGACCTTCATCTCCTTAATTAGCCCTAAATGTTGGACCAATCTCTCCTCATTGTGTTCATGTTTTTTTTTCTTCAATACAACCGAGTCGTTGTGTTCATGTTATGCATGGATTCGAGTTAGTATGAAAATGACGATATAGGAGTTCCAATACAGGACATGATGTTCTAATACTATTATTTTAAACATGTTAAATCATCAATTAACCCAAAAACCGGTGAGTTAGGGTAAATTTAATCATATATAGATATCTCAATACATCTAAGACAACCAACCAACGCATTAAAATTTTATTATCTCAACTACATAATTAATCCACTACCATCCTGAAAATTTGAGTATCAGTTATTCTTATTACTATCTCAAAGGTCAAAGATTCAATCACATATATATAGTCGTTGAAACTCGAAAAGAAAAATAGAACCTAAATTAACGGCATCTTTCTATAATATATTTTTTCATACTCCAGGTTATCTTGGTTTACTTGATTTTTATAACAATACACCAAATGGAACCAATAATTTTCAATTATTTTATTTTAGAACCGAAAAAACAAGTTTTATTTTATATATTGAAACCAAACGGGTGGATTTTGTTTTTCAATTTCCTCGTATTTTGCACCAACAACTTCCTATAGTTGGAGTTGTTTGTTTAGTTGACAAAATTAGGTAAATTTGGTCATGGTTGCTGTTATTAACCTAAACAAATTTTTGTTGTCATCAAAATTCTAAAATACATTTTGTAATCATTATCTAATGACCTGATTAGCTAAAACACAAACCAAAACACATTTACACAATAAATTTGCTTACGAGTTCAACTTCTCATATGCTAAAAATTAAACGACGAAATTGAAAAAGTGGGAGATGTATTGAGATAATAATTAAAAAAAAAAAAGTTTACCATCTATTATTAGGGAAGATATTGTTAAGGTTTACTTTCATGATGTAACATTTGGTTTACAGATCATATGAGTTAATTAATTAAAGAATATGGGAGCATATAATTCAGAAAGACCAAATCCAAAAGAACATGGATAAAGATAACAAATTTTTGGAAAGTAATTGATGGAACAGCATTATCTTTATTGGAGAATGGAGATGGTGGGATTATACTATTTTTTCCTTTGACAGAGTGGACAGTTTTGTTGGCCCATTTCTAAGTTTTTATTTAATTTCAACTAAGAGAGAGAAAGAAAGAGAATTATCCAGCTTTCTTTAGAAATTTAAAACTAAAAAAAGTTAAAATACCATTTTAGTCCCTCCTTTCTAATCTTCTTCTATTTCAATATGTGTCTTTGAGATTTATCTTCGATAAATCTTTAAAATGATGTTTTTGGTTTAACTTCTGGAGAGAGAGAGAAAAAAAAACCACAATAAGCCTTTCTTGAAATTTTGATAAATATGTAGTTATTTTTTTAAATATAAAAGTTATTATCATTTTAATTTTGTTTGAATTCAATAAATTATTGGGGTGAGGAATAGACAATAAACTTTTAAGATGGTGAGAGATTCATTTATCCATTGAGTTGCACTCGAATTAGCTATTATTATTGCTAACTTGAATGTAGTTATGTTTGACCCAAATGTTATGAGTCTGAATCCCTCACCTCACATGTTGTATTCGAACTTCAAACTAACTGTAAACATGATAATTTTTTTTATGGGATTTAACAAAAGGAGAATTTGAACCTCTTACTTTAGATAGATAAGTTAACATGTATACTTGGACCATACTCATATCAAAATATAGGAAATATATAAACACAAGAACAACAAATCAACATTTAACAGTTAATTTGAATTTAACTCAACGGTAATTGACATATGTCTCTAACCAAGAGTCATGAGTTCGATGGCTAAAGTTACCAACTTGAGCATAGCTTAGTCTATCGTTCTTCTCTTTATCGCGGGATAGAGCAACTTGGTAACTCGCAGGGCTCATAACCTTGAAGTCATAGGATTAAGGCAGGTCGTGATTTCGAATTCTCATCTTCATGTATTGTACTAAAGAAAAATCTAATAGCTAGAGTTATTAATAATTAACTTCACCTAAAGGTCGAATATTGTATATTTGAATTCTAGCCTTGCAGGGCCAATATGGTAATTTAACATTTGAAAAAATTTGCAAATATAAACCATAATGAAAACACATCCCAATTACCGGCGCCATAGTCTCTCTCACAGCTGTTAATTTATGGACATTGCGAGAGGCCAACCAGACCAGAACCCTTTTTTATATTATTATTATTCTTCAGTTGAAAACCCTGCAAATTAAATTCCTCTGCACCACCCTCCCATGGCGGCCTCGAAGAAGACGACATGACGATCGAGCTGCTTTTCATATAAAATCTCGACCATACCAACGAATACTCTTCCCTCCCTCCGCTGTTTTTCGTTGATCAATTTCTTTCATCAATTCATGAAGAACCAAGATCTCCGTCAGCGGCGTCGATCGTGTAATTCCCGTAATTAACTTCCGGCGGCGATGGCTGATTTCTCCCAGTTTCCGCCGCAGTTCGGCGACACGACATGGACCAAGGTGTTCGTCGGAGGCCTCGCTTGGGAGACCCAATCCGAGGAAATGCATAGGTTTTTCCAACAGTTCGGAGAAATTCTCGAAGCTGTTATAATTAAGGATAAGAACACCGGAAAATCAAAAGGCTACGGATTCGTAAGTTTCTTCTCCCCCTCCCCGCCCGATTCCCTCCGAATTCACACATTTTCCGTTCAATTTTTTTAATTTTAGCTTTTTTTTTTCTTTTTAATTTTATTAATAGGTCACTTT